GGGTCATGATCCCAGGGTCCTGGGATCGAGCCCCGCATCGGGCTCTCTGCTCAATGGAGAGCCTGCTTCCCTTTCTCTCTCTGCCTGCCTCTCTGCCTACTTGTGATCTCTGTCTCTCAAATAAATAAATAAAATCTTTAAAAAAAAAAAAAAAAAAAAAGAAATTGCGCACTGGGGCACCTGGCTGGCTCAGTCAGTGTAGAGTGTACGACTCCTGAACTCAAACCCCTCGTTGAGCATTGAGATTACTTTAAAAAAAAAGAAAGAAAGAAAGTAAAGAATCTAGCACTAATGTGGGATGATCTCCTTAATCCTAAGTCTACAGCATGATACAGCAGAAGCAGTCAACTCTTCGGGTACCTATTTGAACGGAGCCTTTCCTCACAATCAAGATTTCAACTCAAGCAGCTGAGAATGAAAGAGAAAAGGAGACAGATCAGACGGGCCGCTGGAGAAGAGGGGCAAACTAGCACTGTCTCCAGAAACCAGAGCCCTGGTTCACTCTGACTACGACTAAAAGGTAACGGTAGTGTAGAGAAAGCAAGAGTTTATCATGAAGACTTCATACAAATCACAGGTTACTTTCATGGCAGTGAGTAAAATACATCTGTACCGCAGTGGCCTTGAAAAAGAACAAAATCAAAGAGGAATCAAGATGATATAAAGTCTCTTGCGGGTTAAGAATTGCTCTGATAGCACTATTTGGCTCTTTGTAGGATCCTCGACCCATTCTACTGCAAGAAATGCAGAATCCTCCTTGCTGTCCTACACTCCCAGGAGACACGAAGGAAGGATTCTGGGTGAAGGAAAACAATGTGCTCCGGCAGCGGCAGCCTGGCCTGGGCCTCAGATAAGCAAAGGACTATCAGCTCTTTCTCTGTAACAGCTGTAGTCACTCACAGGGCTCTTGCTAGAGGGACAGTAAACCCAAGTATTGGTTTATTCTAAATGCGCAGCTCAAACACGCAGCTTGGGATCTCCTAAGAATTTAGTGGTAACAGGAACAGTAAAAAACTCGGGTGAGCAAGGGGGAGAAGAAGGAAAGCTGAGTAGCAGAAGAGGGTCCTGTGACAGGCGAGGGTGTGCCAAAATGAGCATCAAGTATCTACAGAGGCAAATAAAATTTTTAAAATTTTTTCTTAAGTTTTCTAAAAAAAAAAAAAACCAACCTGCAGCTTTATGTAAGAAGAATCAGAGGGCGCAAGTGCACACCCCCTACTCTCTCCGTCCCTCTTTTAGGTCATTACCTGCAAAAGCTCCTAACTGGCAAAAATCAGACGAAATTGAGGGCCATCACACTGTTCTGAAGAGAGGAGCACTAGGGAGAACATAGGGAAGACAGACATTTAACTTGTTCATGCACTATGGCCTAACAAAACAATGCGGTCCAAGGACCCATTCTGCTTCCAGGGGAAAACCCTTGTCCCTGATACTTAGAGAGAGCAAGAGACCTAGGCTTCCTTCCCTGAAAAGGAACAATACTGGAGAAAGGGGTTCAGGTTCCTCTGCACCTTCATCTGTCCTCTCCCTGTGGGAGGAGTAACTTATCTGAATATAGAAGAAAGACTGACATTTCCTGGGGCAAATAATACAGTATATGTTAACTTAAAAAAAGAAAGAAAGGTTGGTATTTAATTGGCCTTTTCTCTTTAGGAAGAAAGTGTTAATAAGGAAGTCTTACTTTGACTGCAAGTCATATTCTGCAAGATTTCAATGATTAGCACCCTGAATCCGAATTCCACAAGCATCACCCTTCAAATATTTTAACAAATAATGAGAAGAAAGTGAGCATGGTTTTGGGACTTAACTACAAGTGACTTGGGTTCTAGTAACAGAGGCATCACTAGCTTGGACTCTCGGCTGTCGTTTAACCTTTTAGCCTCAAGTGCAAAATAAAAGGGGCTGGGTTTAAGAGTGCATTCTAGTTTTAAACTTCTAGAACTTTTAACAAAACTCCCCCTCAAGAAATCAAATAAGATGCTGAAAGCGACCTTTGTTGTACTTCTTGTAACTGGGAAAACCCTTTTCTAGGGCAGGGCTTCCCAAAGTGTGGTCTGTGGACCACTTAACCTTAGCTTCCAGAACACACGCTCAAATGGAAAGAAACCCCTTCGTGGAGGGGAAACGGTGCTACTGTTTGAATTCAGTTTTTTTTTTCTTTTTCCTTTTTTTTTTTTTTTTTGGGTTTTTCTTAACAAGCAACCCAGGTGATTTTTATGATCCATAAATTTGTTGATTCCAGTACGCTATGGTCTTCAAAATCTCGTATGCAAACCCCTGGGCATACATCGAGATTTTTTCAATGGGGAAGGCAGACAGGGATATATATATAAGAACATCAGCTTAAAGATCTTCAATTTCCATATGCATTGCCCCAAGATTTATGGGCTCATATAACGCTCCTTCAGACCTAACATTTTTAATTATTTTCATTTTCACAACTGCCATACTCTGTATTTCCAAAAGAAAGGCTGACTCACACCCACCTAGAATCTTACTACTGGGCATTGCCTCAGACTGTAAAAAACCTAGAGGCATCAAACAAAAGAACAACAATAAGAAAAAAAAAAAAGCCAGAGAATTTTTAAGGGACAATGAGGACAGAGTAAAGCAAAGAGAGCTTAGATTAAAAACTCTGTACCTCATCTATCTTAGAACTGTAATTGAGAAGGTTGTGCCAGAAATGTGTTAATGCTTTTATTTGAATTAAAGTCAAACATTTTCTGACTGAAAATGGAATCTGATTTGGCTGGTGAGTTTTAAAATGAGAGCAGGCTTTGCTACTTTATATAACAGGACTTTTCCTATAAATTCAATCAGCTAAATCTACAACTCCAAGACTTTGAGAAAAATATTTTTAAGGCACATATACAATATACTGGATAGGGTATCCTTTGTTAAGTACTTAAATTTATTTTTAAAATTTAGATGTCACATTAAACATGTGCAAAAGGAAAACTACCCTAGAATGAAAGCCATGAAATGGAGGAGAAACTGGGTGGGAAGGGTTACAAGGGACAGAAACCGTCCCCTTGGAGTAGCTTGTTTTAGGGTGGGTACTCAGGTGTCCACAACTCACCAGAAGGGAACACTCTGTTTGCTAATCATATCCTAAGGTGTAAAATGTGCAAAAGGTTACATACAGCTTTTCAAAATTCTTTCAGGGATATGTTAGCAAAAATGCTCAGTGTTCTAGGCACACATGGGATAAATCTCTTCTTTTTCAAGACTTTTCTTTGGACTTATCCAAACTGCGTGGACTGATCACAACCATAAAGCAATTTACAGCACTTCACAACTGGACTAATCAAATTACTTGTTTGGATTTTTTTTTTTTCACTGTTAGCTCTAATACTTTTCTAACAGCCACCTTGGATCTGGGTGCCTAAAACCATTCCCTAAGAGAAAAAAAAAGGCTAGGGAATAAAATTAACTGAAGGAAGAGTAAATCTTCAAGTAACTCAGTAAGTGAATGAATTAAAGTACTTTTGTTTGTACTGGCAGTTGCTTCTCCCAGATCTTCATCTTTAGAGAGAGAATGAAGTGGTTAACATATCTTTTCATGTTATTGGGAGTCCGTCCCCCAAATTGATAATCTAGTTCTAAAGAACTGTCAAATTCGCTCTACGTATAGAAGCAAAAATGTGACACAGAGATGTTTACATAAATAAATAGATATAGAGGGTTATGCTAGGTAGAGATGCTCAATACTGGCATTCTGATACACACCTGGCCCTGTTAATATTTCTCTCCAATTCACTAAGTCAGCTACGCTATGAAAACCTTAATAACCAACTGAATCTCTTTCTTGCATATAGGGCAGGAAGCCCCAGCCTTCTTTAATCTTCTGGCACAGTGAAAACAAGTGACAAGATGCCCTGTCCTCCCATGAATAATGTTCCCGTCTCGTGGTCTCTTCTCACACAGACTACATGGCTTCAAGAGATTCCGGCAATCCTCCATGTTTTCTGTATCTGTTCTCTGTTCAAAAAGGTTATCGGATTGCTCTCCCATGCTTGATATTGTTTCTTGGCTTTCAGAACTGTGGGCCAAATCCAAGAATTCCACCGAGTTGCAAGGATCAAAAAGTCTGGGTTTTTTTTCTTCCTTTGTACATACATCTTTAGGTCTCACAACCGGAGCTGATATGGTTCTCCGGCAATCGGGGACATCAATTCCTTCATTTTCCTTCTTTTCAGGTATGGCAGTGATATCAGACGTGGAGAGAGAATGGGTTAACTTAGAACAATCCGAATACCAATCCTTCCTCAACGCCCAGCAACGAAAACAGTACCTCTTGCTTGGAGAATTAAATTTCTTGCACTCAGTACACTGCCACTCATCCTACAACGGCAAGTACAGCCAATTAATACTCACGCAGTAGCGGACATGCAGTTCAGAGAAAGGGAGTGGGAGAGTGGGCCACATCTCATCATCTCACCAAGCCAGGGAGACATTCCACGTGAGCGGTCTAGCCTCACATCGGAACACATTCCACATCCACACGTAAGAAAGTCTGCAGAAGTTTTGCGATGATGGTGACGCAATTGGCATTTCAAGTCAGAATTTGATATAGCTATCTTTAAGAAAGTCAATTCATTATTTTGGCATTCTATCTAGTCTGGGTGGAGTTTACATTGCTTGGTTTTCCCTGCTGCCTTCTTTTAAGTTCATTTCTCATTGTACAACTTACTCTTTTATTGAGCAAGAGGCTAAGAATGAAGAAAAAATAACACTTGTATTCCTTCCCACCAATTAAGAAATGTTATAAAATCTGGCAAAAAGGAAGCTTAAATTAAAATGAGGTTTGAAAATTACTGTATCACTCATGCTCTCTCCCTGGTCTCAGGATTAGAGGTCGTTTACTCTATGCCTAAACCCTACCCTCTGAAAAATGAATGTTCTCATCCTTGAATGCTGGTAACTTTTTTCCTACTTCTCCATATTCAAATTAGAAGATACTAGAGTTCAGTATTTTAAATGCCTTGCTTAATGCAAAGGTAGCTACCTGGAACAAGTCAAGAGTATTTAATGTGGGTAATTGCCTGGCTTTGACAGGATCAATGATTTGACACAGGCAATCTTGATTACTTTCAGAATGAAGGCTGCACGCTTCACTTTTAGAAGGCATAATTCAACTGCCTAAGCCAAGAGGCAGGGACATGACCATTTGTTAAACTGGGTGGTCTTCAGAGAGCGTCAAAACATTCTTGCCAGTTTAAGATCCTCAGATCTCATCTAAAATGCTATACAGAATCTCAGAGGGACTTCACAGACACTTAGAATTCATAACTGATGGTGCGTCATAATCTAATTGGTATCACTCTTTCTTTAGTAGTACATAAAATAATAGGGCTTATTAAATTAAATGGCATCTTTGATTTGATGAAATACAGTCTATTTGCTTAATAGGTTTTCTGGGCCCAAGCAGCCACAGAAGTCTGATTAAGATGGAACATTTATCTCTGCTATTTGTATTATGGTCAAGAACACTTAATGGACCAATATATTCCACTTTATTACTCAGCTACGCACAGACAGATAATTTGCAATGCATTATCATAATGGTCAACAGTGGCAGGCTGGGAGGTGCAGGAACCTCAAGACCAGAGACAACCTCCAACTATTCTATCCCCAAGCAGCAAACTATGAAATCCCCTCCCCTCTCCTTCCCCCATCACCCTTCTTCCAAGCAGGTGAGCTGAGTGTAGCACTGGAAGAAAAATGGGGATCTAGCATGAAAAGAGAAAAGCAAAACTATGTCTGAGTCTACACCTCGGCTGTCACATTTGGTGACAAATCCACACCTAATACCTAACAGCTTAATACTCTTATCTGCATTTACTAGCCCTTGTTAATGTAAACCTAGGTGGAAACTGGGTCATTTCCCACTGGTTTGTTTTTAAGAAAGCAGTGAAAATGCGATCTTTATTCTTGACAAGGAATTTGAGATAGCTTACAGGTCTAGCTTTAGGATTATGGAGGGCTGTTTAATGGGTAAAGTAGTGTAGGAGTATTTTAAATAACTCCTGTGTATCCATTGCATCGTATCCAAAGAATTTTATTAGCAGGAAGAAAGGCACACAGACGGGCATTTAAATCACCCCTTTCAAGTTGGGGAGAGGATTAGGTCAACTCATCCTCCTCTTCTCCAAATTGCAATAAAAACCTCTAACAAGATATAAAGAAGCCAACATGTCTTAACACCAAGGAAGGCAAGACAGAAATGGGGGAAATGGCCTTCTTCAACACAAGGGCACTGCTGAACGTTCATACTGGAAGCCACAGGTGCTGGGAAACAGCTTTTTTACTAGCTTACTCATACCTCAGAGGTAACTTCTACATCAGTATCATCACTTAGGGACTTAGAGTCCTCAAGGTCATCATTTTTTCCTGCTTCAATCACCTGCGAGAGCAAAGACATCTCATTAGTAAGGTTTACCTAGTTTAGATGAGGTTATAATCTAAAAACAAGAGAGACAGAAGAGCTTTGATTTAAAGCTCACATTCTGCCTCCATCACTACCACTTGAAAAGAAAACGGCTTACTACGACTCTGTGCATGCCCAGCAGGCAGCTCAGTAGAAGAAATTACTGGAAAGTGCCCAGAAGGGCCACCAAATACAAGAGGGCACCCAAATGTATGACCTTAATGAAAATAAATAGGATCAGAGCAGAAAAGCTACAAATCATTAAACATGAAAATTTTTAAGCTTGGAAATTTAGGCAGAGAAAATGAAGTGAAAAGCACTACATAAAATAAGGAACTGAGATGTGAAGAATGAAAAAGTAGCTTATGAAAAGTAAATTTCGTATTCAAAAGTATAACTAGTTATGTGCACTCTGATTGTCCTATAAAAACATGCCCATTGGGGCAGCTGCATGGCTCAGTCAGTTAAACGTCTGCCTTTGGCTCAGGTCATGATCCCAGAGTCCTGGGATCGAGCTCTGCATCGGGCTCCCTGCTCCGTGGGGAGCCTGCTTCTCCCTCTGCCCCTCACCCTGCTGTGCTCTCTCTTGCTCTAATTAATAAAAAATCTTAAAAAAAAAAAAAAATGCCCATGGACCAGGAAAAAGAAAGTCAAGAAATGTGGGAAGTGTCCTCTAAATTTTCAAATTCAGAACTGAAAATTCTAAAAATTGGGGCACCTGGGTGGCTCAGTCATTAAGTGTCTGCCTTCAGCTCAGGTCATGATCCCAGAGTCCTGGGTTTGAGCTTCACATCGGGCTCCTTGCTCAACAGGAAGCCTGCTTCTCCCTCTCCCACTCCCCCTGCTTGTGTTCCCCTCTCTTGTTGTCTCTCTGTCAAATAAATAAAATCTTTTAAAAAATAAAATAAAATTTTAAAAATTAAAACCCTATTTTATGATCTAGTAAATGGAATAAAATCAATTATGATATAATTAGGAACCTCCTTATGGCAACTTTCTCACACAAGTTCAAGTATTTTAAGTTCTGTGTCTCTCAATGGAAGTTTCCAAATGTCACCTTTGTCTTCATTCCAGCCACTTACAGTCCCTTCTGATGCTACGCATACAACTAGTCTAGCAGGACCCAAGCATCGATCTGCCTATAACATACCAGGATATCCTTCAGGAATCCAAATTATTATGAAAGTCCCTCAAATTAAAAAGATGACTCTGTTTAGATCTGTGTTTTGTTATATTTACTCAATAGATGTTTACTGAGAATTTTGTCAGGGTCAGGCATTGGATCTGCAGTCCAATCTCCTTTGAGACTCGAACACATGCTTTTATGACTCTTGGGGTGCTCACACTGTGTGTATTCAGAGTTCTAACTCTCTCTCTTCCCTCTTATTTAAACTCCAACTATGTAAGAAGAGCCCACCTACCTACTTCATTTAGATATGAATGACTGTGGAAGACACTGAGACATCCAAAAAGTAAGAATTTTTTCCCTGCAGGCTTCCATGGCCACTTAGAACTTTGCCTTGTTAGCAAAGCAAGGTCTCCAAAAGCAAAAAATCCACAGTGAGAGATTAGACAAGGAGAAAAGGGCAGCTTCTTGCTTCTAAGGAAGGAGTTTTACCCATGCAGTCCTATCCTATTTTTAAGAGAGTGTTGGTTAATGTAATATGAACCTGAAAACCGAATAGAGGAAAACATTAGAAAATAAAAAGGGGGGATTATGGGACTCATCTGTGGTACCAAGGGACAGGACACCAGATCTGAACAGATTATACTATGTGCACATAAATACAACCAACGTGAAATTTTCCAAACATACCCTTTTGTCTCTCACTTTCCCTACTTCTTCACTTGTTTCTTCAGTGTCTGCAGCTTCAACTTTTATTCCCACACCAAACTGCTCTGATACAGACTCATTCAAAAACCACAAGTCATCTGTGGTGTCTGAAACAATGGCAGTACCTATATCCTAGTAGAAAAAAACAAAATGTGAGTTTTTGTAGTCGGAGGCTTATCGGTGACATTGAACCAACAGAAATGAACCCAAAACTCTATCTTCACACACCTCCAAAGAACAGCTAGCCTTTCTTCGGTGGATACCTATTCATTCAACAGATGTCTACTTGGCACCTACTACATATGAACTAATGAGTGGATATAGGGAGCCTGGCAAGAAATTTTCTATTTTAACAGTAAATCGGGTAGAACACCTAAGAAACAGTACCGAAAGTTTAAAAGCTAAAGACTCATAGTTGCTTAACTAAACAGAATCCATTCCCTAAAATTTCCTTTCCAAAGGTGGCACTCTGAGAACCTAGAAAACAATTCTATTAACTATAATATATTACTTCCTTTATGGTCAAATAACGTTTACTGAGGGATGCCTGGGTGGCTCAGTCAGTTAAGCATCCAACTCTGGATTTTGGCTCAGCACATGATCTCAAGATCATGAGACTGAGCCCCACGTCTGGTTCTGCACTCAGCACAGAGTCTGCTTGAGACTGCTCTCTCCCTCTCCCTCCGCTCATTTGCTCTCTCGAAATAAATAAAATCTTTAAAAATAATAATGTTTATTGAAATATAAGAAATACTGATGGTAACTAAAATCTCCTGTCCTGACTCTTTCTGAATTCTTAAATGACTTTAAATATGACTTTCTTTCGAATTCGTCTATGGATATTTTACGACCTGCTTTTCTGCACTATTCCTAAGAGAAAACTTACTGTTTTGCCACTATTTTATATCCATTCATTTACTGAGTAAAATACTCCCTGAACTCCTATTACGTGTCAGATACTGTTCTAGGTACTAGGTAATAGAGTGATGAATAATGAGAAAGCCCCGGATTTACATTTCAGTAGGGGTAAAAAGGCAAGAGACACATAAACAAAATAGAATAACAGGTTTTCGAAGTGAGAAGTGAAAAAGAGACGGTAAGTAAGACAAAGGAACAGAACACTTATGGTTTGAATTAGGGTACCACACTATAAGTAATAAAAGTCGTTAAGAGTCTGGATATGTTTTGGATAAAGAGCTGAAAACCCGAATGTGGCATATGACAGAGAAAGAAATTGATACCATCCCTTTGGATTTGGCTGGAAGGACTGGATAGAAGGGAGATTCATGGAAAAGGAAAGGCTGTACAGGAATGTTTAGAAAAAATGAAAAATAAAACCCAGAGCTCTGGTTTGAACACATTCAATGTCTGATCATCTAAGCGGAGGTGGTGAGTAGGCAGCTGAGCACAGAAGCTGGGCATTTAGGGAAGAGGTCAGGGCTGTGGATACAGATTTGAGCAGCGGATGCACACAGATGGCACTGAATGAGAATTCTTATAGAATGCAATGTGTGGTGAAGAGTAACCAAGAATGTTACTCTTTCAAAAACAAAACGGGGGCGCCTGGGTGACTCAGTCATTGGGCGTCTGCCTTCAGCTCGGGTCATGATCCCAGGGTCGTGGGATGGGAGTTCCACATCGGGCTCCCTGCTCAGCAAGAAGTTTCCTCCTCCCTCTCCCACTCCCCCTAGTTGTGTTCCCTCTCTCTCTGTCTCTCTGTCAAATAAATAAATAAATAAAATCTTTAAAAAAAAAAAACAAAAAAAAACAGAAAGTTACTCTTCCGATGTGACATTTACCTGATTTGTCTGTAAATCAGTCGAGCCATTACTTCTAGGTGTATAGTTGCTCCTCAGGTTTCCTAAAAACCACCAAGGCAGCCCAGCTACATCCCACTCCTCAAACCCAAGGTCCAGCTTAGATGTCTCATCTTGGGTTAAGTTTTTTATGAAGTCTTCATCTACAGCGGTCAAACGGAAAGGAGAGTAACTACGTACACAACACTAAGAATCAAAACTCGCTTTGTAACACTTATAATCTCTTTACAAGACAGGTCAAAAGAAATTTCTACAGCCAATATATTGAAAGAAACAGAAATCAAATATTGCAGTCACAGAGCCCGGACCTTCTCTCAAATTCGGGTGTCGTTCAATAACAAGTAATGACACTGGAAGCAGATGATCATTTATCAAGAAATCTAAACTCTGGGGCGCCTGGGTGGCTCAGTGGGTTAAGCCTCTGCCTTCGGCTCAGGTCATGATCTCAGGGTCCTGGAATTGAGTCCCGCATCGGGCTCTCTGCTTGACAGGGAGCCTGCTTCCTCCTCTCTCTCTCTGCCTCCCTCTCTGCCTACTTGTGATTTCTCTCTGTCAAATAAATAAATAAAATCTTAAAAAAAAAAAAAAAGAAAGAAATCTTAACTCCGAAAACACCCAAACAATGACACTGTTCTAGGAGGATTTCAAAATGGTTATTTAGCGCCATGTTAAACATTCAGAGCACGGCAATGACCAAAGAGAGATGTGCTCTAGTACATGATGCCTGATGGTGGCTTGATCCATGGACTGCAACAGTGGTAGCAGAGCGGCCGAACCTAAAGACAGAAGCCAGGCAGTCCAGACCAAATGGGCACTCACAAGGTTGTCAAGGCCGTCTCACTGCTACATATTTAGGGATGTTTCTCACGAGTTCATGTTCGGATGGCTAAAAACCATTATAAAACACTAATGTCCTTTCTGGATCAATGGGCTCTTTTGGGGTTATCTAAGATCTAGAAATATCGCAAACCCCAAACTTAAGAAGGGGCCACATATTCCAAGTAAAAGATCTCGTGTTGTACATCCCAGTGACATTCGAGGTGGTTACTAACATAAATTTGTTGCTACCACAACATCCCATCATCCAATCTTTATTTGTTGTGCTCTCCTCTGTTCCTACTTTCTCACTCTCCTCTACCTCTTCCCAGTGCACCAGCCATTTCCATAGCAACCATGGGTGTTAAAATGTGTTGAGGTGCCCGTGCTTGAAAACTTGTAATAAATTGGTCCCTGTCAGAACAAAGGATTACCTTATCTACTTACAAATTATGTTGAACCCTGCCCATTAACTTCAGGGAGAAACTTAGCTTTTTACTTACTCATTACTAGATAATCAAAACCCAAATTCCTGAGATGATGCCATATTAAATTTATCCTCGTCTCTTCAAGCTCTCAAACATCCCATAAGGGCAAGAGAAATATCCTTTCCATATACACAAAGTCTGACCTTTCTACCTACAGACTTTTCTGAAAATATTAAGCTCATTATTCTCAAAATTTACAGCACAAACTACAAACAGTCTCTTAAATCGGCTATTCTTACATTTCAAATAGCCTTTTGAGTAGCAAGTAACCAAAGACCTACATTTAAAGAAAAAATTACACACTTAAAACCATACAGACAGGAATAAGCTCCCAGGTGACTAGGTAGCTCAAAATTCGGTTGTATGATAAATGGATTCAATTTTTAACATTTTAAACAATTAGAGCAGCATCACGTTCTGGGATGTTGCTAGAGGTCTAACCTGCCATTGCTCCAAGTATGAGCCAGTACCTAAACTAGAAACTATCATGTCATAAAAGGCTTGAATAATTTATGATTTTATACACCTGTATAGAAAAAATTTTAGGGGATACTTTATTAAGCAGAGCTTGAGGAAAACTTTCAAAATATCAATTAACTCATTTAGCCTGACCATAGCATATCCAGTACAGATGGCAAAGATCTGAGGACTATCATCCAAGGGCAAACGAAGGACCTACTAGGTTCCTGAGGGCTCATTCTTGGCTCTGACAGACTACGTATACATCATCTTTGCAAACTTCAAAACTCTACAAAAATTAGCCTTCACCTGAAGCAGATAAATCAAAATAAGAAGCCTAACTGGACTGAATATATACAAGTATGTCAAGATTTAAAAGGCCAAGGCAGCTGACTAGGTGGCAAATTGATTTATCTGTAGTGATCTTCTATTAGTATGCAGCCAAAGGACAGGACTCACCCCACCAGTCCACCCCAGTAAACACAGGTTGCTAAAAGAGCACTACCATCTTCAAAGTTAACAACGGTCACTAGGGTAAAGAAAAAGTTTTTGGAAAAGAATGAGAAGTAAGGATGACATATGCCCCTCCTACTTCATATACAAAGGAAGTGCATTATTATTTTTTGAGTTGTCTATAGAATGGTCTCAATTACAACCAGTGCTAAATGTTGAATAAATCCCATTTCTAGAAGTCATCAACAAAAGGAAAAAAAAAAAAAAGAAAAAGTAAAAACTGTATAGCCTTAACCCAAAACTTACCTTCTCTAGAACTTCTGCATTTATGATGTGAGGTAGGCAGTGCAGGAATATTGCCTTCTTCCATTCTCTTCCTGGAACTGGAACTTTCTTCTGCACTTTGCTGGAAAAAAAAAAAAGGGAAAGATGTCTGTCAGTGCCGTAAAAATGACTGAGACCCGGGGATGTAGCAGTTCCATCCTGGCTCACCAGTCAGCGTGCGGCACAATGGGTTACGCACAAGAAAGAGATCTCTGGAGTTCACAATAGTCATCAAATAAAGGCAACACCTCTCCTTAACTCACTGTGAGCAGCGCTAAGAGAATCCCAAACCTAGGGGGATAAAAAATCTCTGCACAAAAGGCCAAAATCTACTGTTAAAAACAGGCTATCGATGAAAAGCCTCTAGACTACAAAATTAGGCATAATTCAGAAAACATGAGGAAACCCTCAGCATATACCAAGATCATAAAGTTTTCCCAGGTCTGAAGAAGCTTTAAGAATGGCCTGACATGAACTTAACTGCAAAGAGCCTGCTAAAATCTAATAAAGCAGTTTTCTCAAACACCTATATATGGACACCATCACACACACAGGCATACACAAACCCCAAAGAAAATGCAACTGGAGGAACTGAAGATCAGAAGTGCTACATCCCAAAGAAAAATTCAGAGACTGGAACTCTGTTATGGGCAGAACAGAGAAGTTTCACTCTGTCCCTGGTCTGTGAACTCCCAAGAACCTTTCTTATTAAATTCTTACCACATTTAGAGAAAGGTCTTGGGAGTCCAAGATCCATAGGTACAGAGAAGGGGCCACTCTGTACAACAAAAGAAGTCACCGTGTGGTGATTTTACCTTCAGTTGGTCTTGACTTGGAATATCCATACTGTGATCCTGTGCGAGAGCGAGAGTCTGAGCAGCATCTGGATAGCAAGTAAAACAAAAGGAAAACCTTCCCTGGTAATAACCATTCTTTCCACATAAAAAGGACCTCAGCAAACAACCCTGGAGCCAGGTTTGCTCCCTAAAGATGTACTTCTCCATGTTGGCTGGGCAAAGCTCTCATCCAAAAGGGAAAAATCAAAACTGATAAAAACGGCAAAGACCAAGCCAGGCTTTGTTCAAAATGTATTACCAAAATGTAATCTGGGAGAAAATGAAAAATAACTAAAAAATGTTCATGGCAAACTTCCACATTTTTCTATGAAAGTGATTCCAACCAAGAAATAATGGAGAGTATTTTTTATTATCTCTTCCCACATCTGCCTAACTTATAAACAACAGCAAAAAAGTTCGGTCTTTAATTTTTACTTTCAACTGTTAAAAGTTATACAGGGTTATGAAATCTGAAAATCTGGAATTTTCCTCACTTGCTTCATAACACAACAGCACCCCGTGCAAACTTACATTCTAAAGCATCAGTGATGATTTCCTGTTTTAAATTCCCAATACATGAATATGCAGTAGTTTTTTTAATTAACATGTTTTACTTAAAAAAAAAAAAGTTTTATTTTTCCCAGTTACTATAAACATTTCCTAAGAAAGAAGGGAGAGCAGATAAAGTTTTTCTCAAAGCCAGTGAAAAGCAAAGAAAACAATAACCTGAGAGAAATTCTCAGATAGTCTGAGAGAAATGTATTTTGAGGACTTGGAAATTTTTCAAGCAGAACAGAAGATGAAAACTCAGCTACAGGAAAACGACAAACTGCAGAGAATTTAGTAACCTAGACCGCTCATTATATGAGGTTATATGTAACTGGAATGTTCCCAAATAAGTCTACCAAGGGTTGGGTTCATTAGCTACTATCAGATCCAGAGATAAGACATTTATGGAGAACTTCATCCGCAGGTCACAAAGGCCACCAGGGAAAGAATACGGATGCTCCAAGTGGTCTGATAATTCAGTTAGTTTGCACAAAGCAAATAATTTCAGAACTGTAATCCTAAAGAGCGTGATTTCTACAAGCATTTTTACAGGTCAACGGAGAATACTGAGAAGTTCAAGAGACAGCATTTTCTGACCCCAGTGGTCTTCAAAGATCAAATCATGAGACAATGCAGATAAAGCATTTCTTTACTAAAGCAACTTGATATTGTCATTTATAGTTCTAACGCCTTCCTGTATCTTCCTCAGGTTAAAACATTTAGAAGCAGGGCGCCTGCGTGGCTCAGTCCGTTGGGCATCTGCCTTCGACTAAGGTCATGATGACAAGGTCCTGGGACTGAGCCCTAAGTCAGGCTCCCTGCTCAGTGGAGAATCTGCTTCTCCCTCTTCTCCTGCCCCTCCCCCCAACTAGTGAGTGAGCTCTCGCTCTCTCTCAAAAGCCCTCTTTCAAGTAAGTAAGATCTTTTAAAAAAAAAATGAAAATTTATAAGCAAAAAGAAATTATCTGGGAAAACTACAACATACAAAGGAATTTTAAAATAAATAAAGTCTGTCATTTATTTATCATTTTGTTGGTATACATGTGGAGATTTGGACAAATGCCTCATAAAAGAACCACCTTTACTTTAAACAATGACATTTTCTCAACCATCAAAATAAAAGGTTTAACCCACTTGCAAAGGTGTACAACAGGTGATATAAAAAACATTTTTCTCATTTGTCCTTTTAAATAAAACACAAGCAACCCAATTCATTCAGATCAACAGCGATAACCAACCACAAGCACCAAAGCAAGGGCAAGTCAAGAGCAGACAATCAAAAGTATTTTGGGGCAATATTCTGGTTTTGAACATTGTACTATGGTTATACAAGATGTTAGTTATCATTTGGGGAATCTGGGTAAAGAATATTTGGAACCCTTTATTATACTTTTATTACTTTTTTCTAACTAAAATCATTTCAAAGTGACAAGCACAAACAAAATCTTTTAAACATTTCATGTTCAGAGAGAAATGTGTTAAGAAAAATTAATTGGGGCAAACTCTGTTATGACATCAATGTGTGGCACAATGAAAAGCCCAAGAACCAGTCAGTCAGAAATATCCGTTCTACCAATTATCAGTGGCACCTAATCTTGGACAAATCATTTATTCTATTAAGAGCAAAAATCAAAGGGGCGCCTGGGTGGCTCAATCGTTAAGCGTCTGCCTTCAGCTCAGGTCATAATTCCAAGGTCCTGGAATCAAGCCTTGCATAGGGCTCCCTGCTCGGTGAGAAGCCTGCTCCTCCCTCTCCCACTTCCCCTGCCTATGTTATCCTCTCTTGCTGTGTCTCTCTCTGTCAAATAAATAAATAAAATCGGGACGCCTGGAAGGCTCAGTTGTTAAGCATCTGCCTTCGGCTCAGTTCATGATCCCAGGGTCCTGGGATTGAGTCCCACATCGGGCTCCTCGCTCAGCGGGAAGCCTGCTTTTCCTTCTCCCACTCCCCCTGCTTGTGTTCTCTCTCTCGCTGTGTCTCCTCTTTCCGGCAAATAAATAAATAAAATCTTTTTTTAAAAAAAAGCAAAAATCAAAAACACAAACAAACAAAATAAAAAACCCTTCCGTTTCATCATCTCCAGACCTTCCTCACAGGGTTGTTGTTAGGATCAACTGAAATATTATTGAAATGTTCATTTTAATAGATGGCATGTTAAATGCTGCAAGTGCAAGAGAAAGAGAGAGGAAAAGTGAGAATTAGACTCACTTGAGTTATCCAGAAAACAATCAGAAAACAAATTCTACTGAAAGGGTAGATCAGCAAATATAAAATCCTCCGTGCAGTTCAAGCCTGCAGTGAACATCCCAGGAAAGCCCTACTATTTCACAAGTGACTGAATTTCAATAAAGCGCTATATTATTTGCAAGGCCTTCCCTCTCAACAGAAATTTACAGCTGGGTGAAGTGGGCAAATGGCTCAATGAAGACAAGAGGCTCCAAAACTCAATATAAGTTCAAAGACACATTTCACTACGAAAGCAGTCTCTCTGCTCTCACGTTAAATCATAAATCTTTATTAGGAATGGATTCTTTTCAATTATTTGTTTCACTAAACTACTGTAAGATAACTTATCTAAAAGAATCACAAACTTGGCTTTCTTTAAAGGATAAGGTTACCTAAAATCTAATTTGAAACTCACAAAAGGGCTTCACAGAGAAATGGGGGGGGGGTGTTCATTATTTGGAAAGGAGTAACAGATAGGGTTACATTTCAGTTATATCCAGTCTTCACTGATCTCTAACACACTACACTTCAGACCCCAGAGCAGTCTGCTTCCTGCACATACAGAATAAATTAAACCCAGAGGACAGTATTTAAAAGATACTGAGGGGCACCTGGGTGGCTCAGTGGGTTAGGGCCTCTGCCTTCAGCTCAGGTCATGATCCCAGGGTCCTGGATCGAGCCCCATATCAGGCTCTCTGCTAGGCAGGGAGCCTGCTTCCCTTCCTCTCTCTCTGCCTGTCTCTTTGCCTACTTGTGATCTCTCTGTCAAATAAATAAATAAAATCTTTAAAAGATATGGAATCAAGCAAAGGGTGTCAGACAAACTGGCATTCATATAACAGAAAGCTAAAACCATCAGGTGAAAGGTTCCCGGGGGACCCTGATTAACAGATGGGTCGGTCAGAGGAACAGCACATGTGCCCACAGAATCAACATCACTGAAAGAGGGACAAGTCGAACTTTACATGGCTCAGGAGTGATGCAAAAGATGTACAAAGCACCACCTATGAATTCTCAGCAAAAAATTTAAACTTGAAACTATTCAAGCCTTACTAGTTTAAGGGAAATAAAAGAAACAGACAAACATGCTAAACAACATCACAAGGATACAATCTCGCAACCTCTAGAATGTGGGAAATTCTATAGGACAAATGATCCATTTCTTCAACAAATAAATGACATAAAAATAAAAGGAGGATTGTTTTATAAAGATACTTACAGGCATATTAACTAAACGCAATGTGTGGACTTGGTCTGGATCTTGATTTCAACAAGCCAAATGTAAAAGGCCTTTCTGGGATAACTGGGGGTAAACTATACACATACTGGCTATTGGATAATATTATGGAGTTATTATTTATATTATTAATAATTTTCTCGGGTGTAAGAACGACACTGCAGTTCTGTTTAAAGGAAAATGGTCCTTATCTGTTCGAGATTTTAAAAGTATATCCAGATGGAAAAAATAAATGAAATTAAGAAAAAAAAGTACATATGAAGCAAACGTGGCAAAATGTTAACAATTACCAAGTCTAAGAAATGGGCATTACACTAATCTATTTAGTATATTTGAAATTTTCCACAATGAAGTTAACATCCTAATAACATTCTGTATGACAGGTGTCCCTCCCAATCATGCCAACACAGCATTTCATTTCCATCTTAATCCTCCTTGTTTTCCCATCATTTGCCCCCTTGAGCTCAAAGCTGTGACACAGGTTGAAGAAAGAGGATGTGACGTACCTGTAGTAGCAGAGGCTAAAGTGATAAGATTCTTTCTTAGCATATCATAGAGAGGGCTGTCAGAGACAAAAAAAAAAACAAAACAAAACAAAACACACAAAAACAAAAACTTAATAACCTCATGGTTTTCCATTAAAATGTTACATTTCTATTTGGTACATGATCTTTCAACTTTCTCTGTAACACATGGAGAAGCAGAATGTTTTCCCCAGAATAGATTTGTTTGTAATTATTTAAATGTCAAGATACTCATGTCCAAGTGCTTGTGCTACTTCGCCCCCATTAAGACACTAATTAATTTACATTTTATTTAATTAGCTAACAGTAACACAAGATTTCCTTTAGAGACCATTCCTTCCCACGAGGAATTAATTTTTACAATTTTAATTGGGGAAGGGTTGGAAGGGAGTCTAACCACAGTAAGACAAAATGAGCGCAGAAGAAACAGTCATCACAAAGCTATAGAAAGAAAACAATGGCTTCTTAATTACTAATCAGCTTTTCACTCTGTAACAACCATATACACCCCCATGTGGCTGGAGAAAGTTGCACAACAGGTCAAAGAAGTTCTACTGTGATTCTTATGAAGCCCATCTTCGACCTCAAACCGGCCAGCGATGCTACATTTCGCTCATCAGCTCAGTCTTCCTCTCTGTAACAGCTGCTTCACAAAATTCTAACCTAGCCACACCAAGCTCCTCCTACCCAGGCCTTTGCACATAATGCTCAATCTGCCAGTTCTCCAACCCTCTCCCAGAGCACTCCCACTTCTCACTCATCCTGCGGCTCTTTGCTCAAACAGCACTTCCTCAAGGAACCATACGTACCCCAACCAATAAGACCCTAAATCCCACCCCAACGCAGCTTCATGTACCTCTTGTCTCTAACACTCACAGTGTAATTTACTACGTGCAGTGTGATAACCTGATAGAAGATGGGGAAGAGCATCGACTGTCTCACCGCTCCTTAAACTCCATAGAATCTGAGATCGCTGTTCACAAACACGTTCTCAGGGCCTCACAGGAGACCCTTAAATATTGATTGACTAAAGGAATAAATAACCACTAATATTCTATGGAGACTGAGTTGTTAGAAGCACCCAAAAAGACAAACAAATCTTCAATCTTCTTACCTTGGATCTTTCACGGAGAAGCTCTGACGTCCTAGCAGTTCTCCTAAAAGATCTCCGCCACAATACACCATATGCTGCTCCCGCTGATCATAAAGCTTCTTCACCATTATGTACTGGCCGAGATAATGCATGACCTGCAGGGCAAGAAAACCGCAGGAAGAGGTCTGTCCAGCTGCTCCAAACACAAGTTAATTATGAGAAGGGAAGGTACGTTAGTTTGTTAGAAAAAGAGAAACTATGTATGAGCATGACTGTTGGTGCTTGTGTAAGGAGTCCTATGACAAGACGGTTGTCCCCAACTACTAGGTTCAGCCACTTATTATCATGCTGGATATCAAGAGACTTATTTTTTAAAATAGAAACGCAGCAGTCTGACAGTGAGAAAGAGTGTTGAATTTACCTAGTATCCCCGTAAAAATTTTCCCACAAGTCCAAATAAAGAGGCCTATTCTATGACTAGAATAAACTTTGTATGTGCCTGGGCCATAAAAATATATTCCAAGTCCAGGGACACATAACTATAAGACGCTTTTGATGCATATTCATTTAATTCTTTTTTGGCAAATGAAGTACAATGGTTAACAAGCCATCAGCCCCATAAGTGCATAAAACACAGAATCTAGTGTCTATCAAATAAAAATTTAGTCTATCTGGCTTTTTTCACAGAGTTCACAAAAATGGAAGGAACTCAGACAAGATCATGATTCAAAAGTTTTAAGTGATCTATTTTTTCCTAATGTTTTCTCCATGCAGATTTTTTTAAACTACTTAATAATTAAGTTCAGTTAATGACAGTAAGAACTTTGCTGTCAGAGACCACATGCAAACCAAAGCGGCTATCTGTATCTTTAGGCCCCAACTTCTCAGGAATTATTAGATACCTGCACAGAAGATGTTTCCAACACTGTCCCCATTATACTGGTACAATAATGCTCCTAAGCTCCCTTCTATACCAAGCAACATTTCGCCCCAGATAATCAAATACCTAGGAGGAAGTAAGATGGGGAAGAACCACCACTGAAAGAAAAAGGAGGAAGTTTTATATTTTATCTGTCCAACTTCCGGAAGAAATAAATCCAAAATAAGCTCTTCTAGGACAATATAGATCATCTACCCTATAAATGTGTACATAATTGTCTGCAGCCACTGCCGCACCATCACCACCTCTAACTCCCAGAGCTCCAGCTGAAGGAGAAGGGGGAGAAGGTAAGACTTCTACACTATGGCTTGCACAAAGCAGACCACTCGAATATCAACTGGTGGTAAAGCTCTGAAGAAGTGACTGACTACAAAAAGCCACTTGCAAGCGTGTGCCCTCTTCTGGAGGGGTGAAGAAACCTCACCGTTACAGTCCTGGTACTGCTGCACCTGTGAAATCGGACACTATCACAAGTCCACTGAACTGATCTGCAAGCTTCCATTCCAGCATCTGGTGCGAAAAAGTGCTCAGGGGCACCTGGCGGGCTCAGTCAGTAAAGCATGCGACCCCTGATCTCAGGGCTGTGGGCTCAAGCCCCACATTAGGTATAGAGATCACTTAAAAATAAAATCTTAAAAAATAATAAAATAAAATAAATGCATTAAGCTAAAAAAAGTAAATAAAACATTAATAATGTATACAAAATTACTAGTCTCATTATACCATACTGCCTCAATGCACATACTGAGAACCAATATTTAAAAATAAAAAATTAGGGGTTCCTTGGTGGCTCAGTCGGTTGAGTCGCTGCCTTCAGCTCAGGTCATGATCCCAGGGTCCTGCGATCGAATCCTGTATCAGGCTCCTTGTCCAGCAGGGAGCCTGCTTTTCTCTCTGCCTCTACCTGCCACTCTGCCTGCTTGTGCTCTCTCTCTCTGACAAATAAATAAAATGTTTTTTAAAATAATAATAATAAAATCTTTAAAAAAAATTAAAAATAAAATATTAAGAAATTCTTCTTTATGCACCAGGTAAGGTCAAAATTCATAATAGAGAGCTTCATATAAACTCACTCTTTGCAATTTCTTCCCCAGTAAAATATTCTTTCTGACCAATATGTACTTAATTTCTTCTTAACCCAGGAAACCTCTACCACATGACTAAAGGAGATAGCATAATTCATTTTAACAACTTTATTGATATAAAATTCCATACATCAGGGCACCTGGGTGGCTCAGTCAGTTAAGTCAGTTAAGCACTGACTTGTGGTTTTTGGCTCAGGTCACAATCTTATGGGAGTCATGAGATCATTGAGCCCCACACCAAGTCCCACACTTAGTACAGAGGCTGCTTGAAAATTCTCTCTCTGTCCCTCCCCCAATGCATATGCCCCTGCACTCTTTCTCTCAAATAAATTTTTTTTTTTTAATTCATACTTTGGGACGCCTGGGTGGCTCAGTCGGTTGGGTGTCTGCCTTTGGCTGAGGTCATGATCCCAGGGTTCCGGGTTTGAGTCCCACATGGGGCTCCTTGCTCTGCGGGGAGCCTGCTTCTCCCTCTGCCTGTTGCTCCCCCTGCTTGTGCTCTCTCTCTCTCTTTCTCTGACAAATAAGTAAATAAATAAAATCTTTAATAAAAAAAAGATAAAAAAATAAAAATCCATACTTCAATAATAGTTTCAGAATTCTAAAGATACAGTCCAAAATGTACTTAATTTAAAATGATAAAGTAAATATGAATATTCTAAAAATCTAAAATGCTCCCAATTTGTTTCCTTGAGAGATAAAATGGCTCAGAAGTGCAGTGTTCCTTAAGTTTTTCAGAAAAGTTAAAAAAAAAAAAAAAAAATTGATAATTTTGTTTCTTCCCATTAGAAAAGGTTAGAAGATTTTTATCCTACTAAATGCAACCAGCTCAGAGAGATTAACATTTTAATACTGAGTCTTTTCCACTTAAGGAATTCAATTTGGTTTTGTTAAAAAACAAAACAAAACAAAAAACCTTTAGATGCTAAATAAGTTATTTAAATGCATAAGTGTTTAAAATAACTCACAGTGCTCAGAAGAGTATCTGACACATTTATAATGAAAAACTACTGCATTTAATTCCTGCCTGGCAGTACATCCTATAAATCATCGACAGTGTCATTTTTTAATCTTGTACACGCTTTGCATTTTAACTCGGAGATCAATGAATTCACGCTTAATTTTATGTTTGGCTGACAACATACTTCAAAAGGAAATTTAAAGGAAATACGAAGTTCAGTTTAGCTCAGTAGTCTTTAAAACAAGCAAAAGTTGCCTTTCTAGTACTTCAGGAAGAGAATTTCCTTTCTTGGGCCTGATGTCGGAACTATATATTCATCAGCTACTACTTTTTTTCTTTCATCAGCGTTTACTTCTCAGCTGTTCTTATAACTGAGAATTCTCGGGGCACCTGGGTGGCTCAGTGGGTTAAAGCCTCTGCCTCCAACTCAGGTCATGATCCCAGGGTCCTGCGATCAAGCCCTGCATCAGGCTCTCTGCTCAGCGGGGAGCCTGCTTCCTCCTCTATCTCTCTCTCTGCCTGCCTCTCTTCCTACTTGTGATCGGTCTGTCAAATAAATAAATAAAATAAAATCTTAAAAAAACAAAAACAAAAACTGAGAATTCTCTTTGACAGCTTACCTCTTTAACAGTGAACATTTCTCCTTGTGCACCTGCTGCTTGCAAAATCTTCAAAAGTGGCTGTTTTGGTCGTACCTGATAGAATCATTAAAAAAACCTGTTATTTATATTCCAACTAGCTTGGTTTCTCAAATCCTAGGGAACAAGAAAACCTCCTTAAATATATATATTTTTTAACAAACCCTGGTAGATACTTACCATCTAATAACATACAATCTTCCAATACCTACAATAATAGCAGATAATCGGACTACTACCTGTTACCTCTCTGAAAAATCACATTTTCAAAAGACAACACATTCACACCTACTAAGACGGCCAAAATAAAAAGAAAAAAGGAGACAAAAATAAACATTGGCAAGGGTATGGAGAAACTGGAACCCTTGTGCACAGCTGGTGGGAAGATTTTTATTGGTTCAGCTGGTGTGGAAAATAGTTTGGCAGTTTCTCAGAAAGTTAAACATAAAATTATCATATGACCCAGCAGTTCCCCTCCTAGGTAGTATATACCCCAAAGAACTGAAAGTAGAACTCAAACAAATATTTGTACACCAGTGTTCCCAGGAACATGATTCACAATAGCCAAAAGATGGAACAACCCAAACAGCGCCAACAGGTGGGCAGATAAACCAGATGTGGTGTAAACACACAAGGGATAGCGACTTTGACATCTCTTGACTCTGACTGTGGAGTCTGTCTTTAACCACACAGTTTTATCTTTAAAAATTTTATGGTCAAATTTGTCTCTCTCTTCCTCTTACAGCCTCTTTGGTTTTGTCTTATTTAAGGCACAACCATTTCCTAAGTTTTCCTCTAACATTATTTCACTTTTCACATTTAAATCTTCATCTACCTGGAATTTGTTTTTGTACAAAGTTTGAGGTCTTCATTTGTTTTCTTCCAGAGATGGACAATTATATCAAAACCATCTATTATATAAGCCACATTTTCCCCCAACAAATCCAAATTCTACCTTCATCATACACTAAGGTACACAATACTATATATGCTGTGCAATGTTTATGAAGACAAGTGACAAAATTATGTATTTTTACATGTTAGAGGAGAAGAACTGAAACAAGACACACCTAATTAATAATAGTGTTGTCTTAGGGGGAGGGGATTTTGGGCAAAGAAGGGAGGAGACGGTCAAGGAGTCTCTATAGATAAATACTTTATAAGTAAACACACTATAAAATTGAATTTTGTAAGAATACATTTGCTATATTTACAATTTAAAATTAATTTTAAAGAAAACAAGTTTGTTAAAATGAAGCGAGAGAGATGGAAAACAAACATGTAACTTGGCCCCAAATTCTCCGCTAGCCACCCATACCCTAAAACATAAATTTTCAAAAGCAAATTTTAAGCAATGTGTAACCTCCACATCTTTATTTAACCAATAATCAATTCAAATTTTGAGCAGTGAAACTATTTATTAGTTTCCCTAATACAGCATTTAAAAAATAATCCTTTCTGCTCTACATAAAATCCTAGTCAGTAAAGTTACCTACATGCTCCAACTCAATTTTTTAAAAGCTTACAGAAAACTAGGAATGCCTAAAAATGATTTACCTGACTGGTCTGTTCTGGAGAGATCCTGCAAGCGCTGTCAGAAGTTGAACACTGGGCAGAGGTGGAAAGTGACGTCATTTTGGCAGGGAAGAAATCGCCGCCTGCTGATAAGTCTACAAGGGAAAAAAAAACCATTATGAAATGTCTTCTAAAGCAGAAAATTTTCACTTTAAGATTTACAAAACAGCAGCCAGCAGAAGGTTAAAAAAAAAAAAAAAAAGACACATGTATCAGAGGACCCTACACAAATGGTTCTCGATACTCTTCTGATCCCTTTCTAAATTCAGATCCTCCAAAAAACTGGAGAGCTTAATTAAGAGTCAGAGCCATCCAGGCTTCCCTCAGGTGAAGTCTGAAACAGAAACAGGTTCAGGCATGCTCCAACCTCCACAGTGATGATAATGAGTAAACTGTTTTAGCCAAAGTCAAATTCACAATCATTACCTCCCCAATGGGCATCAGGGTTTCAGTAACTCCTCCCCTCTTAACAGTGCTCAAGAGCAACCCCCTGGAAGACAACAGATCATAGAGCTGGGGGACTTGCCAAGATTAAGTAATAGATTTATGATTCCAAGGGCACATCAAGAAACATGCAACATGTTGAAACATGTCTTGGCCAAGCAACGGCAAGAAAGTGAGAGTCAAATTACTCAGTATCAGTTAAGGCAGTTAGTTTTTAATACCTGCCAAACCCAGAGAGTATAGCAACTAAATGCCTATAAAATGGGTTAAGCCAAGGTGGGCACATAACGTGTGCCAAACCTAAAGAGTATAGCGGTACCTACAAGATGGGTTAAGCCAAAGTGGACATTTATCATCAAGGAAAGCTGTAACACGAAATGAAATAAAGTAAGGTTCAGTGAAAATTTTTCAACTTCTACTGTCTCTCCTTTAAAAAAAAAATTTTTTTTTAAGAAGGAAAATAAATTTTTAAATAAACTTGTTAAAGTTTACCATCAGGTCTTTTTCTAGTAAAAAGGTGATAAGTGATCAGTGAAATTTATGATAACAAGCCACATCAGGGAAAAGGTGAAAGGGGCCTGGAAAAACTGACACACAGTCTGGATAAAACTAACAAGATTCCTCAATCTTCTGAGAATACTTACTGACTCTAACACAATTCAAATTCCTCCCTCCCCCATCGGCTTCCCTTGCTACAAAATGGGAAGTCAAATAGGATACAAGCATAATTTACAATTTTAAAGCTGCTAGCTTTTAATTAGCATTTCAAACCTTATACCTAAAACACCAGTCCAGATCTCCCCAAACATGCCAGTCCTGCAAGTCTTCCCCACCTCAGCAATCAACAAGTCCATCCTTCCAGCTACTCAGGTCATCGACCTTGAAGCAATCCCTGATTCCGTTTTCTTTCACATTCCACACCCAGTTCCTGAATAAACTCGAAAGCTGTTATCTTCAAAATATATCCAAACTCTAGCCATTTCTCACCACTTCCACTATTACTGCATTAATCCAACCCACCTACCCTTCAACTACACTACCCTCCTAAGGTTTTCTTGCTCCCACCCTTGCCCCTCGAGCTCCTAACCTCCTCCTTTTGTCTACTCAAAGGTCAGTTTACCGAGGAGGCCTTCCGTGACTACCCATTTTTAAAACTGCAGCTCCCAACCCCCAGTATTCCCTATCTCCTTCCCTGCCTTATTTTTCTGTATCGTCCTTATTACCAACCAACATACTATACATTCTAATTCCTTATCATGTAAAACAGAAGCAACAAGTGGGCAGAGATCTGTATTTATTCATTAATCAGTCCCTGGTGCCGAAACTGACAATAACGTACATGTTACTGTAGAGTAACATGATGGACACAAGTATCAGTAACAGTGTGGATGCTGGGTGCCTGGCTGGCTTAATGGGCGGAGCATGCGACTTTTGATCTCAGGACTGTAGTCCCACGTTCAGTCTGCACTTAACCAAAAATAAAATCTTAAAAATAAAGAAATAACAGTGTGGATGGTTTCCAAAAATGGTCCTCAATGAACACATCTCCCAAGTAGCTCTGTGACGTTTATCAACAGAATACAGCGTAAGTGGTAATGTGCCAATTCCAAGCCTGGTGGCTTCATTTTTTGTGCTCTTGGAGACCCGTAAATTCTGACTGCTTTACTAGAGACCACATAAAAGGGTCATGTGGGGAGGATTAGTTGTCCAGCTCATCACAGCCTTCTAGCCACTCCCTCCAAAGCACCACATATAACAGGACATTCCAAAAGCAGCTATTGCTTGACCAGAGCTGCATGACAGACAAGAACCATCCAACTAAGCCCACAAAATCATAAGAATAAATCAAATGGCTGTTGTTTTAACTAAGTTTTGGGTGGTTTATGACACAGCACTAGATAATCAAAACAAAAGGCGCAGACTCAGTACCAGGCACACATACTAACCCATTTAATACTTAAATAATCCTATGATGTAGGTAATAGAATTATTACTATTATTTATAGTATAATAATTACTTATAGTATAATAATTATTAGTAGAATATAACAAACATTATTCTTTGTTTTACATCTAAGGCAAGAGAAGCATAGAGATGTTATTTGCCCAAGATAATACAATTCAGTGAATTGCTGGAGTCGATTTCAAACTCAAGAGTTCTAAAGACCCCACTTAGTAATATATTTTTGCCCCTTAGACCTCAATATACAGAATTAATCATAATCCTTTTCTTCAACAGACTCTCATTGTTTATCAGCACATGGCCCACTTTTCCTTGATTCTTCGTGATGCAATAAACATCCACAAAGCAGTACTCTTGACAACCACCTACATTTAATGGTAACATCCTTCCCTAGCCCATTCCCCTGCCTCTCCCCAACAATCATCCTTATCCTGTTTTGATTTTCTTTCCTTCCTTTTTATGCATTTTAGTGCATCAAAATGGAATGCTACAAGTAAGTATTTTTAGGTTAGCTGCTTTTAACTTAAAAGAAGCAGGTATAGGGGCGCCTGGGTGGCTCAGTGGTTAATGCCTCTGCTTTCAGCTCAGGTCATGATCTCAGGGTCCTGGGATCGAGCCTCACGTCGGGCTCTCTGCTCAGCAGGGAGCCTGCCTCCTCCTCCTCTCTCTCTGCCTGCCTCTCTGCCTACTTGTGATCTGTCAAATAAATAAAAATCTTTAAAAAAAAAAAAAAAAAAAGAAGCAGGTATAGTAATTTTTGAGATTTTTGTTTCACTAACGATTCCTACTGTTGTGTCACTTTATTTACTTTTTTTTTTTATTAACATATAATGTATTATTGGGGTGCCTGGGTGGCTCAGTGGGTTAAAGCCTCTGCCTTCAGCTCACGTCATGGTCCCAGGGTCCTGGGATCGAGCCCCGTATCGGGCTCACTGCTCAGCAGGGAGCCTGCTTCCTCCTCTCTCTGCCTGCCCCTCTACCTACTTGTGATCTCTGTCAAATAAATAAATAAAATCTTTTAAAATATATATAATATATAATACCTAGTGTTCATTACATCACGTGCCCTCCTTAATGTCCATCACCTAGCTGCCCCACACCCCACCCCTCCAGCAATCTTGTTTCCTGTAATTAAGAGTCCTTAGTTCTTTTTTTAAAAAATTTTATTGTAAACTAAATATAACATAAAATTTACCATTTTTAAGTGTACAATTTAGTAACATTAAGTACATTCACAATACTGTACACCATCAACACTATCCATTTCCAGAACTTTTTAATCACCCACACTGAAACTCTGCACCCATTAAACAATGAACTCTCCAATGACCTCCTGCCCCCAGGACCTTGTGATCACAATCCTACTTTCTGTCTCTATGAATATGCCTATACTAGATAACTCATCTAAGTAAAATCACAATATTTGTCCTCTGGTGTCTGGCTTATTTCACTTAGCATAATGTTTTCAAGATACATCCATGTCTTAGCATACCTTATTTTTCATTCATTTTGACTGCTGTATAATATTCCACTGTCTGATGACCATTTGGGTTGTTTCTAGGTTTTCACTATTATGAAAAGTGCTACTAGTAATATTCATGTAGATTTGCAAAAAAGGGATCTCTTGGGCATATCTACAAAAGAAATTGCTCACTCATAGCATACATGAATACTTAACTTTAGGAACTGATACCAAAGTGTTTTCAAAGTGTTTGCACCAATCCACAATCCCAACAAGAATCTGTAAGATATCCTGTGAATCCATCCCTTCTCCATTATTTGATGTCATAAAACTTAACTTTTGCCAATAGGTATGGGCTTTTTCTCTGTTCACTAATGATAATGATACTAAATCTCTTCATATGCTTAGCAGCTTTGTTTCCTCTTCTATGAAACATCAGCTCATGTCTTCTGGACATTTTCCTGATTTTGTTATACTTAATTTATAATAGTTCTTTAAAAATTTTTAATATTAGGGACGCCTGGGTGGCTCAGTTGGTTAAGCAGCTGCCTTCGGCTCAGGTCATGATCCCAGCGTCCTGGGATCGAGTCCCACATCGGGCTCCTTGCTCATCGGGGAGCCTGCTTCTCCCTCTGCCTCTGCCTGCCATTCTGTCTGCCTGTGCTTGCTCTCTCTCCCTCTCGCTCTCTGACAAATAAATAAATAAAATCTTTAAAAAAAAAAAAAAAAAATTTTTAATATTAGCCCTATGTCAATTGGGTGTCCTGCAAATAACTTATATCATCTTTTCCATTTCCTAGAAGGTACCTGTATGAAAACTTAATTTTAATAAAATCAAATTTATATTTATCAATCTTCTCTTTTTTAGTCAATGGCCCCTCTGATTTAAGCACTCTTTTATTCCCCAAGGTCTCATATTCACCTATACTTTCTACTAAACATTTGCGAGTGTGTGTGGTGAAAGGATGACATTTTATGACCTTTAAATTCTTAATCTGGAATTGATTTCTTTTTAGAGATCAATTTTACTCTTCTTCCCTACAGAGAGCCATTTTTCCAGCTCGGTTTATTGAACATGCATTCTTTGCTGCCAGCCACCTCTTTTGTATACAGAATTTTCCTTACATACATGGGTGTTTGAGTTCTCTATTTTGTTCCACGGATTGATCAATCTTTCTAAGTTTACTCAATTTAACACTGTCTTAATTCCTATCTTATAATAAGTA